TGAACAAAAAATATTTTAAAAATAACCATATTTCTTAATTGTTAAAATATGGTAAGCATTTATAGTCATAAGAGATATCTTGCAAGACTTTATAAAACAATTGATTGCTGACTGATTAACTTGATAGCGAACATGGAATCTTATTGCTTCATTTCGATGATTTAAAAGTACTTCAACGATTTGTAGAACTTCTTTCGCCAATAGAGCAAAATTCGGAATCCGGAAACGAAAGTTACAAAGAATTGGGCGATAATAATTGCCTATCCGATCTGTATTTTCTCACGAATATAACAGCTAAACTGAATAAACTAAACGAAGATCTCCAGGGAGAAGAAGAAACCCTTCTTCATTTGACTGGGACTGTAACTGTTTTTCAGATAAAGTTAAATTTTTGGATAAATCAGATGAAAGAAAAGAATTTCACCCATTTTGAGAATTTATCAAGCCATATTAATAACCACGAAGCAATTGAAACAGAGAACTACTTGGAAAACCTAAATGCACTGAAAAATAATTTTGAACTCCGCTTCTCTGATTTCCATACAGTTCAACCAATATTATTATTCATCTCAAACCCATTTGCCGAAATTAAAATTTCAGATGTATCACAGAAGATTGGAAATATGTTTGACAAAAATATTGATGTTTGTAAATGTGCTCGCGATAGGCCAAAATGTGCCCGCGAGAGCCCAAAAATTGGGCGCCACTGGTCACCGCTACAGCTACATGCTTGTCACCGCTACAGCTTGATTATAGGGAAAAGGATAATCAAGGAATGATTTCGGAACACGTGTCATATTGTTTTCCGCCGTGCAGAACTAGTTAAGATGCATTATGAAACTTAAATATATTTAATACTTTCCGCATAATATTTCAGACATCAGACACACAGAATGCTTTCAACTATAAAAAATCCCAAAGCCTTGAAGCTAACAAGAATTTTGTCCTCAGGCATGAAAGTTAGTAACATTATTTTTATCTTTCAAAGCCCGTGGGTTTTATGCATAAATGTTACAAGACAAATAATTTCTAATTCTTAATTTACGTTGTTGATATTCCTCTTAATGTTACTAATATTACTGAGGTTTTGTGTTATTAGTAGTTACTGAGATATTACTGATTTGTGAAGTTACTGGGTTTTGTGGTATTACTTGTTGTAGTTACTGAAGTTAAATATTTTTAGAGCAGTTGTTAACGATCACGATGTTACTACAGTTGTTAACGATAACGATTGTTGCTTGTGGAGAAAGCAATTAATAAGATAAATGAAGAATTTTCAGTGCAGCAGTTGAACCAAAGTAACGATGAATTAAAACTCTAGACTTCGTAAACAATTCATACTTAACTCAGATTTACATACAGTGAAATACGTTTAATGCGAAAACGCTTAAGACGAAATATCGGTTAACACGAAATAATACAATGGTTCCGATAAACTATTACGTATTTTCATCATTTTGTTTCTCTTAACACGAAATAAAAATCGCTTAACACGAAAAGGTATCCTTTCTGGGAATGAACAAAATGCGAAAAACACCGCCTCGCAGGCGAGATTTAAGCGGAGTATGAAATGAAAGAGAGGTTGTTTCACATGTTTCGCATAAAGGAGGTTAACTTGGCTTTGAAATGCCCTCGGAATAGCTTGTGACATAGGCCAGTTTTGTTTATTTAAGCTACTTTCATACTCCACCCACACTGTTCTTTCTTTTTCCTTTGATTGCTTATCAGAAGCGGAGTAAAAAGATGTTTCTACATCTTAAAACTCGAGAATAAAATACGATCTGCCTCATTTTCATCACAAATGTCACACAAACATCTCTCATCAGTTGGCTTTGGAATTCGGTGACGAATACATCGCAGTGTGAGTAAAAACAAGTGAGTTTGCTTCATATGTTGCACTCTACATGGAATTCAGTGACTCCAAGGACGAATGAAAATTCTTTTCATCACTCACGGTTTCAAAAGTATCAGATTCTTTGGCGCCGAAAGAAATGGAGAAAGAGGACATTGAAACTAAGTCGACACTTATTGAAATGTTTGAGAAAATTTCTGTATTAGTGACTGTCCTTCTGTATTATCGAAAGAATTCGATGCAGTAATAATGTGTATACAGTCCCAATTATGGCAAAAAAGTCATTTTGCAGTTTGTTCAAAGCTAAAAAATTATCATTAATTTAGATTCCGACGACGAATATGGAATGGATAATGCAGTTCCTGTTCCCACGTCATCCGAAATAAGGAACATCATAAAAAGTATGCGCAGTTATTTAGACGCGCATTCCAGTGGTGAAATGAATAACAGAATAGACGACATCGAACAATTTGTTAACAATTTGATGCTAAAAAGACAATGCAAAGAAAAATATCAGATTATTTTCCAAAAACTCAGTAAATGTTTTGTTTTTCAAAAAACTTAAAAATTTTATATTAAATTTCATCAAGTTCTTGTGGAGGTTTGTGTTTCATTGATTTTTATTAAATACTCGCATATATACATATCTATATAAATCAAATATACTCTAATAAACTTAATTTTGTTGAATATATATATATTTTTCGATATCCTTTAACACGAAAAAATATTTCAGTTCCCTCAGTTTCGTGTTAAACGATTTTCACTGTATATGCAGCTAAGACAACTTATCCCTAACATTAATAGTTTATTAAAATTTAAATGATATAACTATTTGCTTAAATAAAAGTTTCAAATAGTGATCATTATACATATTTTATGCTGTAATGAAACTGTCTCTGAAATAAACAATGTAAGCTGCAGAGAATTTTCATACACTTAAGCATCTAAGGCTAAAAGCGATTTGTATTTAAAATCATCGGGTGCAAACGTTGGATCTACAGCGACACTTTTGTCTATGTCATGTAGGAATTCGGCGAATGTCAAAATATGATGGGGTCAATGTTTGAATCCAAAACTGAGACAGGGATAATAGTCAGTGAGTGAAAAGCATTGTTTTGACAAAGATATAAATCGTATCTGTTTTTCAGAATCTAAAACAATTATTGGAACGGAAAAAACAAAGACAATAAACCAAGAAATTTTGCAATACCAAAACGCATGGACGATCACTGTCAAACTAAAAACAGAAGATACTGCACTGTGGCAAATTAGGAGCTTAAAACGAATATAGTCAAAAGTCGTTAATTCGGAATACAGTCAAAAGTTAATTCGGACACCCATAATCCGGACCTCAAAGCTACAAAATTTCTGCGCATGCGTCGCGTTGATGAATGGGCGTAAGACCTTTACGACTGCGAATATGCGTGTGCGCAGGCCCAAAATACGTTTACGCATGCGCGTTTAATGTATAACGGACGGTATAAACTAAGCTAAAATTATCTAATTCAGTTAATGTTGCAGATTGCGTTATTCCTTAATCTTCGAATTGGATCTGGTTTATTATTTTTTGCAGACTGTTAGAGCAATTTTATAAAAGTAAGCTTGAACTTTCGATTATGTCAAATAGAATTTCCGACATATATTTACTAATATGTAAAGGATCTACAAAGCGAAAGTATGTTTCGAAGTCCATTAAACAAAAAGTGGAATTGCTGCAAAAAATGGATAAAGGCATATCCTTTATCTAACCATTACGAAATCTGTTTATCAATTTCACGCTGCTCTGCGGTGGGTGGACGCCGCGGCGCGCAATGAATTGGAAGTTGATCTGTCAGCACTATCCTTATCTTCAGGGCAGATGTTTTTATTTTATTTGGCTTATAATTCCTTACTAAATGTAGTATTTCATCTCGATGTACTCCGTCTTTGATATGATTTAAATCAAATTCCTCGTCATTATAATTCGCTTCCGATAGCGAAGAAAGTAAAGTAACAAATAAGTATTAAGCTTTTTTTTTTTTTTTTTTTTTTTTTTTTTTTTTTTTTTTGTAAATTTGATACCCTTTAGATCATAATTGTTCTTTATTTCATAAATTACGGTTTTATATTTTGAATTTTATAATTTCTGCATGCCATCTTACCAAATTTAAACTGATGATATATAATTCGGAAAAATCGATAATTCCGAATCGCCGAAGTCAGGACAATTCCGGATTGACGACTTTTGAGTGTATTGTTAAGAGAAGATCGTCGTACCTGGCGATTATTTATGCGAGGAAATACCTCGTAGATTTTAAATGCTGTAAAGCTATTCCTTTCTATTCCCGTATTCGTCATCAATATTCGACATCGACTGCACCAGTATTAGACACATTCATGTCTTAAATTTTTATCATCTCTTGCTGGCCATATACTAACTCTCAAGTAGAGTCAAAGGTCCTCTGCAGTGGTGCATAGAAACAATCTGCTGGCAAGATTCAGTAGTATTATTTTGGCTCTGTTGAGATATTTGTAATCGCATTCTTATTGGCTAAAAAGAATTATAACTTTCTGTCACGTCCGATGTATTCTGAAACATAATCCTATTTTATTTGTTTATATTTTCTTTATGTTATTTTCTGTGTGTTGTTTGTGATTCGCTAAACCATGATCTGCTGTAAAGTTATATATATAACCTCTGTAAACTTTTTCTCTTTCTACGTATTGCTCTGTAGTAAATGTTTGTTTTTCGAACCACGGCATTTTGAATGTTCAACAGGCCCTCTTTACAAGAAAGTCATAAATTTGACGGATATCAGTAGCTTATAAACTTTTCGAAATGAAACAGGGAATTGTAGAAATACTTTAAAATTGTTATGTATGTTATATGTTTTCAAACTTCATATGCCCCGTTTCAAAATTAAAAATCTCTTCTTATACCACAGCTTTCGGTCATCTGAAAAAGAGTGAATTAATTTAATAATATGCTTAAGGGAATTATGGTAGATATTTTCTCTTGGCTTTAAAATGAATATATTCATACTATTTACACTTTTAAATTTTGAAAAAAGCAATATAAGCGACTCTATAACTAAATCTGAATAAAGTTCGTGAAAAATGAATTACTTATATTATTAGAAAATATTAAGGGTTTTAACTTGCTTACTCTGTCATTTCAAATAGATGATCTATGTGCCTTTCGTATCCTTTGTCACCTTTTGATCTCCACATGAGCCACAATTTGAAAATATCATTATGGCGTCCGCACTGAATAACTTTATCCCCCGTGTCAAAGTTCACGTCATAATGCTTATCTTGTTGGAAGAGATAATCAGCACTTAGTTGGTTGCAGCTCATCAGCAAGCCCTGGGGAAAAAGAAATATAGTACAATATTTTTTAGATTATTTATTTATTTATTTTTTTATTTATTAAATACATGTCGTATATTAATGCAGTCTTACCTAACAAAGAAAAAAATTTCAATTCTGCAGGACTGCAACAGCTTACAAAATAAAAAAAATCGACGAAAATAATATCAACATTACAATATGTACACTGCGGGAAAAAAAAAAAAAAAAAAAAAAAAAAAAAAAAAAAAAGAAAAAAAGAAAAGGGGGGACAGTTTAATATCTCCGGTTCTACTAGGCCGATTGAAGAAATTCAACTTGCGTTTTTTTATGTTTCGAAAGCGCGACTTAGGATATGTATTAGATTTATATATAGCATTGTTGTAACATAGGTATTTTTACACAAAATCGGACTTTTTCTGAAATAAAATACCAAGTTTTTTTCCCATATTTCGATTCTACGACTCAAATTACGCCGAACTACCAAGTTTTTTAAAAATCGCACGAGTAGCTTTTAAAAAATTAGCTCGCAAAACTTTAGTTCCTGAATGTTAATTGAGTTTGGCATATATTTATTAATCTCCCTTTATATTAAACTTGTCTGATCCTTCCTCTCACATTTCGAAATTTAGGCTCATTGTTTTTACATTCTGAATGTTGTTACTCTCAGAACAACAAAGTCAGCAATTCCATATCAAAAATAAACAGTAATATAAAAATATCTGCGGACACAAAATACAAGACAAATTCATAATTAAATAATATAATAAAGTAATGAAAAAGATTTAAAATTTTACAGATATATCCAAGAATACTCATCACGTAGACCATTCATAGGGGTTTGAACCCAGCTTTAACTCCAGCTTTCAGCTCTCTTATTCGCTTATACTTGGTAGAGTTGAGTATTTTATTTACACGACGATTAATGTTGTGCTTTCCATATGAAAGAGGAAAACATCTAATTGAATATTAAATATACTTACGTCATCTTTAAAATGAACAGTAGAGCATTGCAGCAAAGATCCCATCAACTTATGAGGATTCCATGTCACAGACTTAGCTCTGAAAAAAAGTTATTTAATAAATTACTAAATATATAATAATAAAATTAACTTTCAGTAAAAAAATTAAAGGAACAGCTCTATATCTCCCATTCTCTTTGGCCGATCGGCAAAATTCAACGTTCAAGGGACGAGATGTTCAAATTTACTTCCGAAATTCGAAAATTCAATTTTTATTCCCAAAAATAAAGAATAATGTAAGTGAAGCATACGTAATTTTTTTTTTAAATTGCGGTGAATTTTAAGCATTTTAGGAAGAATTTTTGCTGTAGACGTGAGTAGAATGAAAATGCCGCCTTAGCCCAAGGAGGCGGATCGCGGAGCAAGTACGCACGCGGAGGGGCAGCGGATAAGAAGGAGTGTTTCGGGATTCTTCATTTAACTGATAAGATGACGTCACACTTTGATAAGAGATTATATCTCATTGATTTTCCGGAGGTTCTTAGTTAATCAATTTTTAGCCTTTGTATTTTTCTTCCTTTTCCAGCTATTTTACTACATACATGATGGTTATTTCCTAGGTACTCTTAACAGAGCTAAGTCTCGAATTTAATGATTGATTCGGAAGGTCTTAGTTTTAGATGTAAATTAAAAAATTTTCCGTATATTTTAAGCCTTATTACTTCTTGTATACTCAGAATGTAACTTTATTTCTTAAAATACCGCATTTACTTTCCGTAATCTTAAGTCCATTAGTCATTTTTATTACTAAATTCATTTTACCCAGAATTATTTTTCATAGCTATTAACCAATATTTTTAATGTTAACTTGTTATATTTTACGAGTGCAGTTACTAAAATAAGCGTTTTTGTCTATTATATTATTTAATGTTAGATGTAATTTTAAACTTTTTTCCTACTTTTCAATGTTTGTGATCTTCTGTAATTTATTTCTTATATTTCGTGATCATGTAGATAACCTTTACTTAAGTTTGGATGTAAAATTTTTAGCTTGTTTTGTATATTTGAACCTATGTACACTAATTTACTAAATTTTCATACTATGAAATCATCTATATAGTATGATGATCAGTTAATTCTGATTTTTTTCATGAATTTTAACCTTCATCATTTCCAATGTAGTCTTAATTTTAACATAATTCCTATATTTTCAGATCATGTACCTGACTTTAATTTAATTTTAGATGTAGATTTTAACTTCTTTTCTACTTTTTAACATTTTTAGTTTCCCACATACTCTGAATTTTAACTAATTTGCTATATTTATGAGGACCTGTTAAATTACCATTACTAGGATATGAACACTGCTCAAAAAAAAAAAAAAAAAAAAAAAAAAAAAATAATGGGACAGTGCTATATCTCCCGTTCTACTGGGCCGATTGACAAAATTCAAATTGCGTTTTTCATGTCTCGAAAGCGCGACTTGGGATATATATTAGATTTATATATAGCACTATTCTAACATAGGTATTTTGACACAAAAATCGGACTTTTTTCGGAAATAACATACCAATTTTTTTTCCATATTTCGATTCTACGTCTCAAATTATGCCCAAAATACCAAGTTTTGTAAAATAAAAAATCGTACGAGTAGTTTTTAAAATATTAGCTCTCAAAATTTTAGCTCCTCAATGTTAATTGAATTTGGCAAATATTTATTAATATCTCTTTTTTTTATTAAACTTTTTTGATTTTTTCTCTCACATTTCAAAATTTAGGTTCATTCCAAATAAAATTTATCCATTTTTGTTTGTTTTATTTTTTAAATTTCTATTTTTAAATAATTTTTATAAATTTTTCAAAAAAAATTTTGAATTAAAACCTATAAAATTTTTACCATCATCTTAAAAGTAAGTGTATTTTTAAGCATATATGCAAAAAATTAGACTTTTTTGTTCAAAATTTTCTAAGATATACACGAATTTACATATTTTCGAGTTTTGAAATTTGGCATCTTTTTTTTTGAGCGATAATAACGCCAAATGTGGTGTCTATGGATTTTTGTTTACAGTGAATTGCCACAGCTATTTTTAACCTTAAATTTCAAGTAAGATTTTACGGAGAATTAATATATTAACATTTTTTTCCCTCAATGAAGCGTAATAAATATTTTATTAATACTATATGAAAAGCTATTTTTTTTTAAATTATAGATGATTTATTCAAAATTTTTAACTATTTTTTAAAAATTTCTCTCTATCTTCCTTTTTTAAAAAAAAAATAAGAGTAAATTTTTACCTTCGGCGTTTTATCGTCTGCTACTTTACTTCGTTTAAATCGAATTGTCTAAAACTGAGAATTTTCGTTTGATATTTATATTTGAATTTTATGATGACATTAACTGCATAATTTATTTCTAAAACAAACTGTTGCTTTGAAGTGGCTGAAAGAGCGGCTGATACTATCATCCACATTTTTAAAGCACAGCATATTTTTATAGAAAACATAATATTTAGAATAATCATTTTTATAAAAGTCAAATTATGATATAACATACGGCCCTCTAGAGACTGAATTAATGGAAGTTCAATGGTTATGTAGAAATGATCTGCAGCTACTTAATGGCTGGATAAGTCAGCAGATTCTGTGGACAAGTAAGAATAATTCTATAAACGCCACCCAACATTCAGGATTCAATTAACAACGAGGATACGATGTTTATTAAATGAATTTAAGAAATTTTAACACATAAAAAAACAACTCATTTTTATCCTAAAATGTATTTTTGTGCGTAGCGTATTTTCATTATATCCTTAAAATTCTAATTTAGAATGTAATTGTCAAGAACTGAATCCTAATCATCAGTAATATAATTAGTAATTATTACGGTTATTTATAAATCCTTCTTATAAAGTAATTGCAAATATTTCAAAAAACTTTCTGTCTGAATGCAAATATTTTTCTATGAAAATATTTTAAATTTTATATTAATCAAGATTGCACACGATATTATTTATTTGCACTTCAATTCTTGCCGTCAGTTCCAGTAGAAGTTACAAATCAATTATATTTAATTAAGGATTGGATTGGATTATTTAATTATGGCAAAGCACACGAGAGCTATCTGCCTAAAGGGAGGGATGCCTTCGTGGAGGACTTTCTAAGGTAAACTGGCTCGTATACACGTTATACATGGGGAAAACAACGAAAACGCCGATGCGGCCAGCCCGTTCGCGAGATTCGAACTTCGGACCGAACTACCAATGATCAGCGTCTTTACCGCTCGACCGCTGGTGGGCTATTTAATTAAGGAATGATCATCTAAGTTTAGAAATAGCGTACCGTAACAGCAATTCAATTATTGGCGCCGTATCTTTCATGTTACTCCCGATTGGCAAGCTACATGATTTTTAATGAGTATTCGGGTTTTGCTAGTAACTTTCCTTGGAAATCGCGGTTAAACTAGGTTAGTTGGTTATTTGAACATATAAAGAACATGGGAGCTATTTGATTAAGATGCTTTCATAGAGAACTTTTGTAAAGAGAACCTAGAAAACTACGAAAACCAACCATGCAAGCCTGGGTTAGACTTCGCAACAAACAATTAGTATTTAACAATCTTCAAATGCTAGGCAACTGGTGAGGCTCCAATTAAATCTCCAATTTAATATTTTATTTGTAAATATTTAAATATTGTTGTATTCTTAGACACAAAAAGCAGAATTTAAGTTTTGTTAACTTGTTAGTAAACTACCAAGCCGTAGTGCAATGAATATTCAATTTCTTTTGCAATAATTGGTATTCACTTAATATTCTTGGAATATGAGCTAAAGAAGGAACGTTCTCGGAAGATTAAAGAAGTAAAGTGTTTAAATCCAGTGATATTACGTTTGTCTTACAAGCTTAGGATCAAAACGATTCTGCAATTGCCCGAGAAGTTGACTTGTAAATGGCTTTGAATTAAGCAGATGACTTTTAATCTTACGTTTTCAGTCAGAAAACGTATTTCAAATGTTTTGTATTGCATGACAATGCATCTTTTCATTATTCAATAATCAATCGGAGAACCGCTTGTGCTCCGAAAATAAGTATGTGTACTCAATTGTCCTGCATGTTCTTCAAATTTGTCTTCTTATGATTTTTTCCTCCCCAAAACTAAAGGCCTCTCAAAGGAAAGTTTTTTGACATTGAAGAGACAAAAGGAGTATGACATCTACTTTTAGAGGCATGTCAAAAACAGATCTCTACAAGCCTTTTCTTCCATTACATGTTGTGCATTCAGACAAAATAGTTGCATCAGCGTAAATTCTATAATCTATTTTTTGTTACACTCTTATTACTTTATTAACATTCAGTGAATATATACTAAACCTTTTATTTCAGCTTCAGTAATTCGGAATTTTTGACGGAATTGTTGTCGGAACTAGGACTTGGAAGATAAGTCAAATTGAATATTTCGATAATTCAATAAATTCATGGTCGAAGTTTCAATATTTTATTTTAGGAGGGAGGGGAAATTTTTTTCAGTTTTTGGTCTAATATCCTAAGTATATTTGCTTCGATTCTTTATTTTTTCCATAAAAGCGAAAATCTTACGCATGGTATACATATAACGCATAGCTTCAAATTAAAATTTAATAATATACAGGGTGGTTATAATTAAAAATTTCACTTTGAAACGGTCATAAAAGGAAAACTACTGGATCAAATGTTATCAAACTTTGTAACCGTGTAAAGGATGTCATAGGAATTTATTTTCCGCGAAAAAAAAGAAAGTTGGAAACCTCACCACCAGGGCCAAAATGGCGCTGTATGCAATATTGTTAAGCGAAATATGGGTCGGAATCTAACTTAACCTTTTGTTACACGGGTTTAATATGTTGTATACCCTTAAGAAACTTTGAAGTAGGCAAATTACCATTTAAAGGCGTTAAATTCGATAAAAGTCGAGTGCGCCATCCGTGTAAGTGAGAAATTCGTCCGTGAAAACCACGAATTAGCGATTAGAAAATGTGAGATCGCAAATCACTCGCACAAGTGGATCTGGAAATCGTTTTCTTACAGATCGCTAATTAGTAATTTTTGAAGTCTGAATTCGGC